TTAAACAGCGTAGGAATTTTTAAAACACATTTAAAGTGAAAGGTTTTTTCAAAAACTCACGTTTTTGGAGAAAGTTCTCTTTGTGGCAACCAGAATTTTTCTTGAGCAGCTTTACGCAAAGATCATACCGTAAAAGAGAATTTTACACCAGTTTTGCGCTACCATTTCGCTCATTTAAATTTCCTTTTTCATGCTGTGTTGGGCCTTACGTGGGTGAACGTCAACTTTGAAATTAAAGTTGGATTAAACCAAAGTTAACCGGCAGCTCAGTATAGTTTAAGCATGCTTTTGATGGCAGGTTTACCTGACGAACAGATTGCTTTGGCGGCTGTGCATTTAGTGGGCTTCCCCAGGAAAATGCGACCAACAGACTCAACAAGACAAACTCGTAGGACGTCTTCATAATGACTACCTTTTGCAAAGATTACTGGTGAATAGAATTGGACGGTACCAGCGCATTCTTTAAAAATAAAAAAAACCTGTTTTAAGGGGTTAAAACCGGTTTTCAATGTTGCGTTCGTTTTCTCGGACCTTGACCCGTTAGGAAATTACAGGGATAAAACCGCAATTTTTTTCACATTCAACTGATTCACACTACCATGATGACCACAGGGAGCCCATACAATCTGTTTGTGAACCGATTGTTTTTTGTTGTTGATGTTGTTGTTGTTTTTTTTTTTTTTGGAGTAAATGAACTGGATTTACCTTTTGTTCCATCTACGCCGCTGATTTAAAATCCTCCAATATCGCTCATAATACCGCTTTTAAGGTGATTCCCTGGTTTTGCACTGCGCATCTCTTACTGCGCATAACAAGATGGCCGCCGTAAAAAAGAGCATGTGAAGTAACATTATTAAAATGAAGTTGACTGAAGAGAAACACCATTGGAATTTTTGCTTGTGGTTATTTCTTGCCGAGGTGAGACTCAATTTGTTGGAAATGTGCATAACGTAAGCAGTATGCGTGTTGCTGAGTTCGACTTCCTCACGGAGAACCTCGATAGTGGATGTTTAACTAGTGCTTACACACTTTGATTTTCATTTAAACGCTTTCTTTATCACATTGTGTCCTAAATGTGATATCTCGATGTAAATTCTGTAAAAACGGATTTTTTAATACTTTCTTCCCTCTTTCACATACATTCTATTTTGAAACTCGCCCCAGTCCTCTCTCAAAATCGGAGAAAATCCATTTGGTGCGCTCTTTCTGCAGCTCTACCGCAAAAAACGAGTACGGTGACCCCCATTTTTTATTTCATGACTTTAATAAGGACAGTGCTTCCTTTCGATGAGAAAAAAATTGGCACAAATCTATGTTCAGTTTTTTGGCAATTTTACTAAATTGTACGGATTGAGCTATCAGGGGTCGAAGAGCGCGTGTCCAATTTAATTCTACTTTGAGCGTAAAGTAAAAACAAGGGCATTNCGCTTTCTTTATCACATTGTGTCCTAAATGTGATATCTCGATGTAAATTCTGTAAAAACGGATTTTTTAATACTTTCTTCCCTCTTTCACATACATTCTATTTTGAAACTCGCCCCAGTCCTCTCTCAAAATCGGAGAAAATCCATTTGGTGCGCTCTTTCTGCAGCTCTACCGCAAAAAACGAGTACGGTGACCCCCATTTTTTATTTCATGACTTTAATAAGGACAGTGCTTCCTTTCGATGAGAAAAAAATTGGCACAAATCTATGTTCAGTTTTTTGGCAATTTTACTAAATTGTACGGATTGAGCTATCAGGGGTCGAAGAGCGCGTGTCCAATTTAATTCTACTTTGAGCGTAAAGTAAAAACAAGGGCATTAAAAGGCATTTTTTTGGTACGTAAGTGGATAAAAATACATTAAAGTCAAATTCTGTGTGATACCACATGATACCACATGCATCATCGAAAAAAATCCCTCCTTTTTATCTAGTTTTGGGCTGCGCGCGGTTTTTGTAAAAGGGTCCTAAATAGCCGTATTTGTCAGCATTGTGACGTCAAAACGAGCGCAGTGACCCCCACTTTTTATTACTTTTTTATCATCTTCTTGACTTGTTACATCAGTGTACCAAGTTTCATCTACAATCTATGTTAGGTCCTTTTACTAGGGAATCACCTTAAGCTAAAAAGGACCGCAATGTACCGCAGGTAAGGAAACTGAATACAACGTATTATTTAACGTCGTGTTTTGAAGTATTATTTCTGCTTATTTGTAGGTTATCTTAGTTTATTTCAGTCATATCTGCACTTGACGTTTCACTCGTGCCTCAGTTGGGTTTCGTTACGGTTGGGTTATAGCTCAAGGCCATTCCGTATTTGTAACAACATGTCTTTGAGTTTTATTACCTTTTTATCGATTTCTAAGTATGTTTTCAACATAAGTGTCTTAAAGTGGGCACGTTTTGCGATCATCGATCGCTGCCTTGATTGTTACCTACATCAGAGACTCGTCTGTTTAGTTGTCAAGCTTTCATTTGTTTCCCTTCAGTTGGCCTGTTGACATTATTAACTTTCAAGGTTTGTTTATTCCACTTGTTTGGTTATCAACAGGATATTCGTTTAAGCCATTAGGAAAAGCGTTTGTAATTCTCATGGTCAGCAAGCCCGAACGTACCAACAGTCAAGTTATTTAAGATGCCCGCCAATATTTGGCGCAATGACAGGGTGTGCCAAAACCTATGTCAGATTGTCCGGGACGGGTAGAAATTTGACAAATTTAGTTCGACCTGTAAAACTACCGGCCAGAGAAAAAAACTTATTGGAAAAAGCAGCATTTTGGCAAGAGGTAAAAGTTGTGTGTTGCCTACAATGTACCCAAGTGACAGATGACGATCTTGCTGACAGATTGATCGGTAATTACAAGACAAGAAGGCGGCCATTAGCGGTCCCAAATGTTTGTCTACAGACTCTCACCCTTTCCCTTGAAAGGGCCCTCTCCTCGCGATTTTTTCACTCTTTCCCCAAACAGAGAGCCCGTTCAAAGGCTATGCCAAAACAATCTATCAAAGCCTCTCTTGGTCCCGTATGAGGTGACACAGAACTCTTTCCACAGGACTCAACGCATGCGCATAACTAGCTCGGTTACCCAAGATGGCGCCTGCATGCTGGTTGTGAATTATTTGAGTTTTTATAGTTGTTAGACAACGAATTATGCTCTCTTGGAGTTTCTAGATGTAAATAGGGTAAATGTGTTTGCCATTTACAGTGTTTGTTGCATACGTATTGAGGTGTTTTTACCACATTTAAACTAAACTGCAAAGGTATAGTTTCGGTATTTTTGCTATGAGCATAATTTACAAAAACTAAAACAATGATCCACAATTATTGACGGTAATACCATGATTTTATATGAGAGCAGGTTCAGTGGTAAACCATTGAATGTATCGCCTTTTCAGTGGAACAATTCACATATCTGTCATATTTAAAATTCAGCTCAAGAAAAGTTTGCCCTCAACATTTGACGAATTGAACGACGTGGAATATACGCGCAATAAAGTTTGAAGCAGCGCAAAATTCATTTAATAGTTTATTTGACGTTATCTTTAGCCGTCGCTGTCGTTATTGCGCTCTCTATTAAAACCACCAGTCATTTTCTTTGAGATATAATGATAATAAAGTAATGGTGAAGAGTAAATTTCCTTTCATGAAAGCTCTTTTCATTTGTTGTGTATGCTTGGGACTTTTTAAAACAATAAAGCTAAGTTCTATTCTTGGAGGCGATTTCGTTCAGTGGCGAGATGGTTTGGTAGCCTGCAAACACAAACGTATTTCCGGTCGTAGAGAGGCGACGACCGGAAATACGTCTGTGTTCGCAGCCTAGTTGGTGGCGAGCTGACGAGCTAGACAAACTATAAAACGTTGACATTTGAATTGAAATACTGATTACTGATTGACAGTCCCAGTGTCCTTGAGTGGTCTACCACGGGACAATGATGCCTGAAAAATAGACAAATATTTTCTCAGACGAAATTACTAGAACACACAACACTAAATCATACGATTTATCAACACTTGTTGTGCGAGGGTGGAAAAATGTGAAAATAAAGAAACTTGAAAAATTTAAATTGAACTGATGTAATAAAATGAAGATATTTGCTTAGCTGCCGACTTAGTACGAACACGGCCCCCGGCAAATAATCTTTAACAACTAAAAATAAAATTAGGTTTAATTCGATAATCAATCCCAATTGGCGACTGACTTTTTGCAAGGCTGGTCGAGGATTAGGACTGCGTTCGGGAGTAGAAGCGGAATCGTTTGAATCTTGATATTCATGATTCCTGTCGTTTTTGCCGCAATGATTCATGATTCCTAGTATTCCTACCAAACTTTTCTTCCAGATTCACGATTCACGAAGACTTTTGGTCACCTATTAAAATTATTCAGTCTCAGTGGCAACTTGATCTCGTTTTGTATAGTTTCTTTGGTGTTCAAACTTCTGTCAGCCGTTCTGTTTTCATCCATACTCGATGTAATCATTCGTTTTGTCCAGGTGTGAAGAAACTGAACATTAAGCACCAGAGTTACTGGAGAAACAAGCGGACTGTCAGCCCCGAATGCTCGAATTATATAAGGGGGGGCGGGGGTCCGGGGGCTTGCTCAAAGGAAAATTTTTTGAAAATTGGACTCTCGGAAACGCCATATCCCGCATTCCCTGGCTCGAACGCAATTAATTCATACGTGCATTTTGTTGAGCTTTTCTCAGAGTCTCGTTGTTCATGATTCCCGAGCCGAAGTACAAAGATTCATGTTTCCCAAGTTTTTAAAACAAACTTGAGATCCATGATTCTTACATTTTTTGTAACCATGATTCATGATTCCGCTTCCACCCCCTTGACTAGGTACTATGAAAAAATCAAGTCTAGCTGGTGGTCAAAACGGGGGAATCAAACCTCGCATCTCCGAAATGCGCGTTTCACGTACTGACCACTTTGCCACAATGCCTCCATAACTTGATTAAAATCCCATGAAATCAAAAACATAAACAAAGAAGATGGAGGCCAGTCTGCGATAAACAACACCAGCTTACCACCAGCTTACCTATATTCCGGCAGGATTCACAGCAAAAGTCAAGCATATAGGCGGGGTTTTTGTAGCACTCGTTCCGTGTTGCCCAATTATAACAATTGGAATGTTGGTCATGGCAAATGTAATTTTTAACGAATTGCAATCCTGTGGTGACAGGAGAGGATATATATTAGTGTAAAATTACAATTTAGACCTTTTGTACTTGGGTTAATTTTTGCTGGGTATGTGCCGCTGGCCTCGCAAAGCCCCTACCCCATTATAGTCTATTCTGTGGCCAATTATAGACCCCATCTTAGTCACTTTTGGGGAAATATGTAATTTTCGCTATCCAAACTTAGTCACTTTCTACTTTTTTCGAATTGATTCATTTTTTAGATTGACTGAAGAACACTTTACTTTTCATCTACCGTACAAACATTCTGATACATTTGCTGACCGTAAATATGACGAACAATGTTACCCCCAAAAATCCGAAAATGTGCGACCCCGTTCTAGTAACTCTATTGAAAATGCAACTCCATTCTAGTCAGTCCAGTCGTGAAAATGCGACCCCATCCAGCGGCACATCCCCATTAGCCATACATACATACATATGTACATGTTTTTTATTTGAAGTCTTACAATAAATAGTATATCAACTATTTCCCAATACTCTAAAATTACAAACAACAAAAATTCCTAACCATATGTGGCTGATAAAGTTATTAATTAATTAAGTCCTAGAGTATTTACTTTTTGCCATCTTCCCCTTTCATTTTTTCAAAGCATTCGTGATGTTTTGCTATTAGTTTTTATTTATTTCCGCTAGGCCCGGGGTTCATTAGAAACATGATTAATTATTTTGTCAGTTGACATTCTGCTTATTTTTATTCTATATTCTTTTTCCAAATAATCTAGTAAGGAACATATTTTTTCCTGGTAAGCAGGGCATATATTTAGAAAATGGTATTCGTCCTCCATTTCTAATTTTTCTTTTATGATAATGTTCAAGATATAGTTGTTGTTCCTTTCTTTTTTACTTAACTTTTTACTTTGTTTCATTTGTCATTGTATTGACTGTTTTGGTACTGAAATCTTCTTGTCGAAGATAAAGTCAATAAAGTTGTTGTCTAGTTTACAAATTGGGCAAATTCTTCCTGCAGGTTTCTTGAACGGTCTCGGATAATTTGTGGTCGCTAAGTTGCAGTTTTGTTAGAGCTATTCTGTGTCGGGTATTTGTGACCTGATGTAGGTAATCTTCACATTTGTAATTGGCTATCGTTTTGAATAACCGTTAGGTTCTCATTTTGTTGCTTTGGTTAGCATCTTTTCTGGTGTCGTTTTTTATTTATTTCACTTAGCCATCTTTGTAGTGCGATATCCTTAAGTCGTTGCCTGGTCATGTTTACGATTCCTATGTCCGCATAGTGTGCTTTCATCCAGAATTCTCCTAATGCTATCTGTTCCAATAAGCTTTTGATTTTTTTGCTCCAGAAAGCTTTATTTTCATTCCATTTAATGTCATTGTATGCTATTTGGGATAATTTGTTTTCATTTTTGGTAAAGGTTAAACAGAATTGTAAAGTTCACACACTGGGCTTCAATTCTCATTAGAAACATTCCTGTCTCAGCTCTTCACACATTGTTATTGCAGTATTTATAATTAACTCCCAGCAACCACTTCAGGAATTTATTTTGAACTACTTCTGCTGGATCCTTTTCTAATTGTCCATTGCAATCAATCCTACACACTTCACTCGCGTAAAAGACTATGGGAGATCGGTCAGTGCATCAAATAACTTCATCGTTAGTTTTATATTTACTCTGAAAGTGCTTTTCCATCTCTTTTCGTAACTTATTGAGTCTGCTTTAAGTGCAACTTTCTTCAACTCTTGCCTAGCGAGAGTAAATTTTCCATAAGGACTCATTATTAGTACAAGATATTTGTAGGATTTGACGTTTTCCAGTTCATCAGCGCCTATTTAGCTTCTTATTTTCTGAAGAAAAAAATACAGTACAGTTAATTACTAGTAATAGTTGACACTACAGCTGCTCCCCGCTCTGTAGATAGTATTCTTGCTCCTTGTGTAGCTCTTTGAAATACCGATTCATAATAAAGATGTTCACACATATTCCATACAATAGGTGAGATAAATACAGGAAATAAACGCGAGGTTCCATGCACAGTTCGGTTCGATTTACACAGCTTTGATCAAAGCATGATCATTCTCAGTTTCAAGAATAGTTTATTCTAAACCATAAGAAAAGATTTAATTAGAAGTTTAATTTTTCGCTATTTCTATTTCACTTTTTACATTTAGTTCATTTCATTTGCCGGAAAGTAAGCCTTAGAAATTAAANCAAGAATAGTTTATTCTAAACCATAAGAAAAGATTTAATTAGAAGTTTAATTTTTCGCTATTTCTATTTCACTTTTTACATTTAGTTCATTTCATTTGCCGGAAAGTAAGCCTTAGAAATTAAAAGGACGTTTGATCAATTCACGCTTGAGCATTCTTGTCTTATTTTAAACTTTGTAGCGGATGGACACCTGTGAGCAGGGAATAAGTCAGCACAGAATGTGATCTGTAATCGTCCATCGTTCTGCTTGTGATAAGCTAGCCGTTGAATCATTCACTCGTCTTGCTTGTTTTGGGCCGAGTCTTATTCTAGTCAAAGAGAGAGAAAGAGTGTCTGGCAAGGTTCAGCTGAAGGTTTCCAATCAAAGATTTGTGAACTCGTGTCTGGCAAACTCACTTAGTGTTAAAATTTACGCTGCTCTACGCACCTTATAACTTCATCTAACGAGTGTCTTTTGGTCCATAACTTTCATAACAAGTGCTCCTCAGAATGCACTGATAACACGTAACGCAAAAGAGTATCGAAGTGTGACTGCATAATTAATGTCACAAAATCTGCCTATTGTAAGCTGTTCCTTCGGAATTTTTGGGTTTTACGTCATCCTAACCATTTCGTACTTGCGGGCGCAAATAATAGAAACGTCATCATTACCTACCGATTCCTCGCGGCCCCTGTTCGAGCAAATCGAGATTTTTTCTAGTATACTGACTGCATATTTGAACTGTAAGTACTGTCCTTAATATACGCGCAAGTTACTAGGGTGCCTCCTTGGGATTTCGCCTCTGGGGGGAAATCCCTGCGGGGCCAATTAGGGCATATCATTGGCATTTACATTGCAGTTGGAGTGATGATGCATTTATGTCTCCAAAGAGGATTTTCTGAATGTTACTTGAATGTTGAGTTATCTTATTTGCCTAAGTCTAAAGGATTTTTTCATAGATTTTAAAAAATAGGGACCTGTTTCAAATTTTACGCTAAACAGTCTCTTATGTAGAGAGGGCTTAGCGGGCAAATTTTAGCCTAACAGGTTCTTAAAATCCAGGTTCTTAGTCGTGGGGTTTTACTTATTCCATTTTTCAGGTACGTACTTTTCATGTGTTTGCACCAAACACAGCAGGATGTATGCAACTTTGGATAGGTATCACATTGGCCAGTGAGCGCCCAGTAGCTACAAGACGGCGATTGGTCGTAACAACCTGAAACAGAAAGAGAAATAACACGAAACAGTTGTAGTGAGTTTGCAGGTTCTCTAGAAACTTCTAAGTCTGGAATGTCTGCGATCTCGCCTTTCGTAAACACTCTGATTCTCTTGCGTTCTGAGTTGACACTCGTGCTCAGTTTGCACATTTGCGCTTTTATCGAGGAAAACTATCCGTTCCCAGTGAAAACTCAGGAAAATTGATTATTAATTATTTGCTTTGAAATTTGATGAAGTAACATCAGCTGTAAGAACTATGAGAAGGACCTAACCTAACCTAACCTGTATTCACTTTGATATATAGAATTCTACATTTAGGCGGAAACACTTAATAAAACTGACCTTCCGAGCTAGTCCTCCTTGGAATGAAATCCTCCTTCAAGTCAACCTAAGAGTGTAATAAATGTTAGACTGAGATCATTATCCGTGTGGTACTCAATAAAGTTTTATAGGGGGAAGCCCCGCCCCAAGGTCCAACCCCTTACCTCTTCATACACCATTTTTTAAAATATACCTATATATGTAGTTTGAAACTTTGCATCGCTTTTAACTGCTATAAATACACTGATTAAACCACAAACCAGAACGTTTTCTCGACTTTTCACTTTTCAACTGACCAGTTGTTTTAAATTTATGCAAGTTTTTTTAATCTTTAACTGTTTCTCACCATTGCTCACAGCATAAATTTCAAATTTTTCAATACTAGTTCAAAAACAGGCGCATTTGCACAAACTTTGCCCAGAACTATTTTGTAACTAAAAATAGAAAAAATGGCGGGAAATTCAAATTTCAGAAATTTTACATTTCCCGCTTAGACCCGGGGGTCGTAGGGCAGTGGTTTCAATTGACTGGTGCATAACAACTGTGCACACCTGTTGTAGCTTGTTGTCCTGCCTTCGCTTGCTCGAGACCCGATGTTAGAATTTACCCTGGCTTTCCCAAGGTAACAACTGGGTTGGATATTTTTGTATCCAGTCTTGCTGAATCCGCTTGGCCGGCGTCACACAACGCTTCCCGTCCCTACGTCTTCTTAAAAACTAGTTATCTACTAACCATGTTTAAAGAACAATCAAACCCCACTTTACAGACACCCGCTCAATGCGGACACTTCGTTATTACGGACATTTTTCTTTTTCCCTGGGGGAAGCATTTACAATTTTTCTAAATTGAACCAGCTTATACGGACAACGGCAGCTATTTCTTGCCAGGAGCCCATAACCCGGAGCGAGTAACTCCCATACTAGGCCTATATAACGGCGTTTTTACGGTCCGGTTTATTTTTAGACACATTTTAGGACAATTTTTCCCGCGAAAATGGAATCTCCGCCACATCTATGAACGCATTTGAAGTGTAACGTATCAAAAAGGAAAACGTAACGTCATAAAAAGGCAAAAATTATCAATTTTAGGTCTGTACGTTTTGCTGACTTGTTTTTGGGACTTAAAAGATATTGTAAATTCGCGCCAAAACCATTCTAAGAATAAACTGGTCCATGAAAATGCCGTGACACGAGTACATGGAGGTTGCTCGCTCCAGGTTATGGGCTCCTGTTCTTGCCCAATCAACAGATATTCTTAAAAAGCCAATTTCCTTTATTTGGACGCTTCCTTGTCAACTGTCCGTTGTAATAGACTTTTCCTTTTTTAAGGTGAAAAAAACTTCAGTTAACAGCATATCGATCACTTCCCAGCGATAAAGTGACACCTAAAAGGTATAGACGCCAATTCCAGACCAGTTTCAATTGGCATCAAACGAGTTATGCAGAGAACGGTTTTGAGGGACGTTTGACTGTTTCTGTGAATTTAAACCGTGAATGACCATGAATGACGACTTTGTGAAGGTTAGAGATGTTCAATTTCACAATGCTAATATCCTCTTTTATTTCTTTTGTATTTTGTTCTCACAAAAAGGTGTTTTTTGACTTCAATATCATGACCCGCTTAATACTAGACTAGCAGTCTCTTATTTTTCTTTTGAGACACAGTAGAATGCGAGCACGAGAAACGACGGCGGAGCCCCAATCTTTACCCCTTTTTTTGACACTAATTTGCATAATTTTTACCTTTTCGCTCGCAGCACGTGGCTGTGAGGAAAGAAGGACGACCGCTCGCGGTCTAGCCTAATACGGACACCGCGTGCCAAAACACCGGGACACTTTTTATCGCGCCTTCAGTGTCCGTTGTTAAAAATGGGGCGTCACTGTAATTCAATATCGCATATCCATTAACTTCCCTCACGAATTCCAACCATAGGTTCCATCTCAGCACCACACCTTGAGTACTTGTAGCATTTTACACCCGAGCACTCAGATGTAAGAGTAGCTAAGCCGAAGCGTGTTATATTTGTCAGGAAATCTTTCGGAATGAGGCTTCTTTAGAACTGCTTTTCTTTGGCCATGAAACTCAAAAATGATAAAAAATAACATATTAGGGCTTGATTCGCGGTTGGCTCGTGCTTGACTCATGGCTCCGCCTCGTGATAGTCTCGGACTCGCGTTGCTCAAACGTGAAACGACCAAACTCATTAAACAGCGTAGGAATTTTTAAAACACATTTAAAGTAAAAGGTTTTTTCAAAAACTCACGTTTTTGGAGAAAGTTCTCTTTGTGGCATCCAGAATTTTTCTTGAGCAGCTTTACGCAAAGATCATACCGTAAAAGAGAATTTTACACCAGTTTTACGCTACCATTTCGCTCATTTAAATGTCCTTTTTCATGCTGTGTTGGGCCTTACGTGGGTGAACGTCAACTTTGAAATTAAAGTTGGATTAAACAAAAGTTAACCGGCAACTCAGTATAGTTTAAGCATGCTTTTGATGGCAGCTTTACCTGACGAACAGATTGCTTTGGCGGCTGTGCATTTAGTGGGCTTCCCCAGGAAAATGCGACCAACAAACTCAACAAGACAAACTCGTAGGACGCCTTCATAATGACTACCTTTTGCAAAGACTACTGGTGAATAGAATTGGACGGTACCAGCGCATTCTTTAAAAATAAAAATAAAAACCTGTTTTAAGGGGTTAAAACCGGTTTTCAATGTTGCGTTCGTTTTCTCGGACCTTGACCCGTTAGGAAATTACAGGGATAAAACCGCAATTTTTTTCATATGCAACTGATTTACACTACCATGATGGAGCCCATACAATCTGTTTGTGAACCGATTGTTTTTTGTTGTTGTTGTTGTTGTTTTTTTTGTTTTGTTTTTTGTAGTAAATAAACTGGATTTACCGTTTGCTGCATCAACGCCGCTTATTTAAAATCCTTCAATATCGCTCATAATACCGCTTTTAAGGTAAAAAGGACCGCAATGTACCGCAGGTAAGGTCACTGAATACAACGTATTATTTAACATTGTGTTGTGAAGTATAATTTCTGCTTATTTGTAGGTTATCTTAGTTTATTTCAGTCAAATCTGCACTTGACGTTTCACTCGTGCCTCAGTAGGGTTTCCTTACGGTTGGGTTATAGCTCAAGGCCATTCCGTATTTGTAACGACATGTCTTTGAGTTTTATTACCTTTTTATCGATTTTTAAGTATGTTTTCAACATAAGTGTCTTAAAGTGGGCACGTTTTGGGATCATCGATCGCTGCGTTGATTGTCACCTACATCAGAGACTCGTCTGTTTAGTTGTCAAGCTTTCATTTGTTTCCCTTGGCCTGTTGACATTATAAACTTTCAAGGTTTGTCTATTCCACTTATTTGGTCATCAACAGGATATTCGTTTAAGCCATTAGGAGAAGCGTTTGTAATTCTCATGGTCAGCAAGCCCGAACGTACCAACAGTCAAGTTATTTAAGATGCCCGCCAATATTTGGCCTGTTCACAGGCTATACCAAAACAATCTATCAAAGCCTCTCTTGGTCCCGTATGAGGTGACACAGAACTCTTTCCACTGGACTCAACGCATGCGCATAACTAGCTCGGTTACCAAAGATGGCGCCTGTGTGCTGGTTGTGAATTATTTGAGTTTTTATAGTCGTTAGATAACGAGTTATGCTCTGTTTACGTTTCCACACGTAAATAGGGCAAATGTGTTTGCCATTTACAGTGTTTGTTGCATACTTATTGAGGTGTTTTAACAACATTTAAACTAAACTGCAGAGGCATAGTTTCGGCATTTTTGCTATAAGCATAATTTACAAAAACTAGCACAATTATTGACCGGAATACTACGATTTTATATGAGAGCAGGTTCAGTGGTAAACCATTGAATGTATCGCCTTTTCAGTGGAACAATTTACATATTACATATCTTTACATAAACAACACTCAAAGCTAGACTCAGATAACTGACAAGATTAGAATGCACTGCCTTTTGCATTGACATCTATAAAAGATCAGACAAGTTAATGCAAGTTTGGGCTGCCTTTGTATGGACTAAACCTTATCCCGTTTTTCCCGCTTTCCTCTTACTCAGTGATCTTTATTTCCAACCCCACCCGCCTCCTCCCCCAACTTCTCCATTTGCGCACGAAGAAGTATAGGTGGTAGAAAAAATAAATTCAAAATAAATCTTGATTGTGCTAAATTCTACTTTAATCGTTTAATATTTCAGCCTTTACTTAAGTTCTATACGAGTTTTACGGTCATCACGCCCCCACTGAAATCATTTCGCCACCAACGAAATCATTTGCCAGCAAAAAGTCGAATCACCACAAATGGTTAACTCTGAAATAATTGACGCACTGGGATACTTATCTACGCTTTTTACTTTTTCGTCAAACTTTTTCACTAAGAAAAATCAGCTCAAATACAAATCTGTCGATCCTAACTGATGATTCTTGCGTCTAACTTCTTAAGCTGAATGTTTAATAGGTTCGGTGAATGTAAAATTTGACATATGACAGATTAAAAAACAACAACAACAAAACTGAATGCAAGGCTGGTACTACGGCAATTCCGTAAAGGGCTAATTAATTATAGGCCAATAGTCAGGTTAACAAAATTAGCCTTCTTCAGGGCTAGAGCTATACCGTGAGAAAATATCTTTTAACAGCTGGCAGAAAAGTTTCACATTAGAGAGCTTAATCAAAAGCGACGACGGCGACGACAACGAGAACGGCAAAAAAGCAACAGGTTTGATTAGAAAAAATAACAACTCTACACGAGCATCACGCTTTTTTGTGCATTTTTTTTGCCGTCACGGCACGAAAGTGGTTAATTTCACGTGTTTTTTTCCTGTTTGTTGGAGGCTGTGAACACAAGACAACGACTTTCTTTTTATTTTCCTGAACTTCGATAGAGTCTTTTAAAATTCAGCTCAAGAAAAGTTTGCCACCAACATTTGACGAATTGAACGAGGTGGAATATAAGCGCAATAAGTTTGAAGCAGCGCAAAATTCACTTAATAGTTTATTTGACGTTTTCTTTAGCCGTCGCTGTCGTTATTGCACTCTCTATTATGTATTAAAACCACCAGTCATTTTCTTTGAGATATGATAAAAAAGTAACGGTGAAGAGTAAATTTCCGTTCATGAAAGCTCATTTCATTTATTGTGTATGCCTAGGACGTTTTAAAACAATATTAAACGTTAAGTTCTATTCTTGGAGGCAATTTCGTTTGTGGCGAGATGGTTTGGTAGCCTGCAAACACAAACGTATTTCCGGTCGTAGAGAGGCGACGACCGGAAATACGTCTGTGTTCGCAGCCTAGTTGGTGGCGAGGACTGCTCGATCTGTTTGATATTTTGCAAGACATTTGAATTGAAATACTGATTACTGATTGACAGTCCCAGTGTCCTTGAGTGGTCTACCACGGGACAATGATGCCTGAAAAATAGACAAATATTTTCTCAAACGAAATTACTAGAACACACAAAACTAAATCATGCAATTTATCAACACTTGTTGTGCGAGGGTGGGAAAATGTGAAAATAAAGAAACTTAGAAAGTTTAAATTGAACTGATGTAATAAACTAAAGATATTTGCTCAGCTGCCGACTTAGTACGAACATGGCCCCCCTCAAATAATCTTTAACAACTAAAAATAAAATCAAGTTTAATTCGATAATCAATCCCAATTGGCGACTGACTTTTTGCAAGGCTGGTCGAGGATCAGGACTAGTTCGGGAGTAGAAGCGGAATCGTTTGAATCTTGATATTCATGATTCCTACAAAACTTTTCTTCCAGATTCATGATTCACGAAGACTTTTGATCACCTATTGACTTAACTGACTTAATGATTCAGTCTCAGTGGCAACTTAGTCTCGTTTTGTATAGTTTCTTTGGTGTTCAAACTTTTGTCAGCTGTTCTGTTTTCATCCATACTCGGTATAATCATTCGTTTTGTTCAGGTGAGGAGAAACTGAACATTAAGCACCAGAGTTACTGGAGAAACAAGCGGACTGTCAGCCCGGAAAGCTCGAATTATATAAGGGTGGTCCGGGGGCTTGCTCCCCCGGAAAACGTGCATTTTGTTGAGCTTTTCTCAGAGTCTCGTTATTCATGATTCCCGAGCCGAAGTACAAAGATTCGTGATTCCCAAGTTTTTAAAACAAAGATTCATGATTCTTACATTATTTTTAACCATGATTCATGATTCCGCTTCCACCCCCTAGACAAGGTACTATGAAAAAATCAAGTCTAGCTGGTGGTCAAAACGGGGAATCTAACCTCGCATCTCCGAAATGCGCGTTTCACGTACTGACCACTCAGTACCATAATGCCTCCATAACTTGATTAAAATCCCATGAAATCAAAAACATAAACAAACAAGATGGAGGCCAGTCTGCGATAAACAACACCAGCTTACCTATATTCCGGCAGGAGTTACAGCACATATCAAGCATATAGGCGGGGTTTTTGTAGCACTCGTTCCGTATTGCCCAATTATAACAATTGGAATGTTGGTCATGGCAATCGTAATTTTTAACGTACTGCAATCCTGTGGTGACAGGAAAGGATATATATTAGTATAAAATTACAATTTAGACCTTTTGTACTTGGGTTAATTTTTGCTGGGTATGTGCCGCTGGCCTCGCAAAGAACCCCCATTATAGTCTATTCTGTAGCCAATTATAGACCCCATCTTAGTCACTTTTGGGGAAATATGTAATTTTCGCGATCCAAACTTAGTCACTTTCTATTTTTTTCGAACTGACTCATTTTTTAGATTGAATGAAGAACACTTTACTTTTCATCTACCGTACAAATATTCTGATACGTTTGCTGACCGTAAATATGAAGAACAATCTTACCCACAAAAATCCGAAAATGTGCGACCCCATTCTAGTAACTCCATTGAAAATGCGACTCCATTCTAGTCAGTCCAGTCGTGAAAATGCGACCCCATCCAGCAGCACATCCCCATTAGCCATACATACATACATATGTATATGTTTTTCATTTGAAGTCTTACAATAAATAGTATATCAACTATTTCCCAATATCTGAAATTACAAACAACAAAAATTCCTAACCATATGTGGCTAATAAAGTTATTAATTAATTAAGTCCTAAAGTATTTACTTTTTGCCGTCTTCCCCTTTCCTTTTTTCAAAGCATTCGTGATGTTTTGCTATTAGTTTTTGTGTTTTAGTATTTCCACTGGGGGGAGGGGGGGGGGTTATTAGAAACATGAATATTTTGTCAGGTCACATTCTGCTTATTTTTATTCTATATTCTTTTTCCAAAAAATCTAGTAACGAACATCTTTTCTCCTGGTAAGCAGGGCATATATTTAGAAAATGGTATTCGTCCTCCATTTCTAATTTTTCTTTTATGATAATATTCGAAAGTTGTTGTTCCTTTCTTTCTTACTTAACTTTTAACTTTGTTTCATTTGTCATTGTATTGACAGTTTTGGTACTGAAATGTTCATATCGAAGATAAAGTCAATAAAGTTGTTGTCTATTTTACAAATTGGGGAAATTCTTCCTGCAGGTTTCTTAAATGGTCTCGGGTAATTTGTGGTTGCTAAGTTGCAG